TCTGGATACCTACGACAATTGGCATTGAGTTTGAGCGTTCGCACACATAACTACCCGCATTCCTGTATTTAGTTACCGTCTTTTACATTCTAGTAAAATCTCTGCAAATTTTATAGCTTTACTTTTTGAAATATTTTGTTCTAATTATTTGATTAGCGACTCGGATGGGATTATTTACTTTTGAACACGCATGCCGCACAAACACAACTATACATTCGTTTTACGGGCTTTATCACACTTCGGTCAAAACTGTCGAATCGAGAATTAATGTTCCGCTTCTTACGGGGTCATACGGGCTTAGTAGCATTATATACCCACCCGGGCACCCAATACGGCAATAGACACGCTGAGGGCTGCCGCAACACGCTTAAAGATGTTACTGAAGCGGTTATTATTCGATCGAAAGAATGCGTTTAAAATTAAAAATACACTCAGAGAATTCGGAGGTAAGCTTCATGATCCTTGTTAAATTATTTATAACATAAAGAAGATAGGATATTTATAGTTTATTCATGACTTTATTTTTACGAGTATCCGTGCAATCAGTGATATTTTAATTGTGTAGAAAATTTGATAGACTGGCGATCAATGGTTTCCATATAAATCTCCTATGTAATTGCCTTCAATTGATATTTTTCGTCGCCCAAACCCATATACGATCAAAATGATCGCGCTGTCAAACTATCTTTCAATGTTAACCAACCCCCGCAACAGGTATATTGGATTCGACCAATACGTCACGAAGACATTGTTGACATCGACTCTGTCGAAATTACAAGTAAATTTTCAAATTTTTCAAGAGAGAAATTGTTCTCATCGTTGTGATAATTAGTTGTGCAATGGATTTTATCGAACGGGAGTTCATTACAAACACACAGGTAAGTTTATAATAACCAAAGTTAAGTAGTTTGTTCATAATCGAAGAAATCCGTTTAAAATTTACGATGAATCAGACAGTAACCTTCATTATGGTGTAACGGTGATATATGTAAACGGTTTTTAAAATCGGATAAAAATTGTGACCTCTAGAGGATCCACAAGCTAAAAATGTGATTTTTGGTAAAATCAGGGGCCATAATTCAGAAAGTTATTGTCTGACACGAATATCAAAAGGAACCTTAAAAGGAACCTAGATCTTTCGGATATAAACATATTTTTTCAGTTTCATCAAAAACGGATATAAATTGGGATGGGTCCACAATCTTGGAATTCATACTTTTACACTATTTGCGTACAAGGATCGGTCATTTCATTAGGCAGATTCGGTCCGATTTTCACGAAATTCGAACTCAGTCACCATTAGGGTGTAACATACACGGTTTTTAAAATCGAATGAAAATTGTGAAGCGATTTTTGGTACAATGAGGGTCATAATCCATGAAATTATGGTTCGATATGCACAAACATGGACAGGAGAGTGAGAGAGAGATGGGGTTTAACGTCCACTCGACACAAACTAGGTCATTTCGGGACTAACATGGGGTTTAACGTCCACTCGACACAAACTAGGTCATTTCGGGACTAACATGGGGTTTAACGTCCACTCGACACAAACTAGGTAATTTCGGGACTAACATGGGGTTTAACGTCCACTCGACACAAACTAGGTCATTTCGGGACTAACATATGGTTTAATTTTATTTCAATAATTCGCTTGCGCGTAGGGGTCTTTAGCAGTGGGAGGAAACCGGAGAACCCAGGAAAAAACCCACAAGGTTGGACAGGCAATCCTACTCCTTGTCACTTACAACCTGGGAATCGAAACCACACCTATATTTTAATTTTCTTGAGTCAACTGGCGTGGTTTCGAATCCCCGGTTGCCATGTGCACGTTGTATCATTTATAAGGTCTGTCAATGAGTCAACTCGTGGGTTTTCTCTGGGTACTCCGTTTTCCTCCCTCTGCTCTAAGACCCCTACGCACAAGCAAATTTTTGAAATAAAATTAAACCATATGTTGGTCCCGAAATGACCTAGTTTTCTTGAGTGGAGGTTAAACCACATTTCTCTCTTTATCTTAATTTTCATCAAAATTGGATAAAAATTGTATAATAATAATAATAATAATAATCAGGGGACAGGGTATGGTTTTATAGCAAACTTTATTTGTTAATATATTTTTAACCTTCTTCACGTTTAAATATATCATAAAATAATTGCGCTCGACAAACCTCGGCAGATTCCGGTACTCTATATCTAGCATCGGCTGTATGACAGTAAGTGACGTGTACCTACTCCTGTACAATTGCGATGCGGCACCGGTTTACTTGAAAGAAAAACAGCTTCAGACTTTGAAATATTTGTATGATAAAACATTCTTTAACGCTGTTGGTAATCCGGGAAATTGAAAGTAGTTCCAATGGCGGACTTTGTCATACAGCCGAGGCTAGATGAAGGGTACTGGAATCTGCTGAAGTTTGCAGAGTGAAAATAATTGTGTATCTTATGATAGGTATCGTACACCAGGCACTGGAACCTTTACTCTTTTTAGAGCACCTTATATCACTTCCCACCGCTAATTAATTTTTATTGTACAGTGAGATCACCCGTCAATGACAAGCTTATTATTACTGACCACTAACATGTAGCAGATCCGAGTCCCATCCCTTATCAGGCCACACAAACAAAATGAGTAGGAGGTTCCCGGGCAATTTAATATTGAAATTACATATCTTCCTGCAGAAATTTACATTGTTTATTTGAGCTGGATAATCAAGTCAAAGCGGGAAATAACTCCTATATATAAACAAGTTGAAAAATGGCGACGAATGTATACAAGGTAGGTGTATATTTTAATGTCAATTTAACAAGGGATTTTATTAAGTGTATTTTCTTATTTTTCTTAATAATAGGTTAATAATATCCATATAACCAAGATAATTTCATGCAGCATAATATGTTTTACTCGCATAATTTTCGCCACCCGTCGGCACAAGCTCTTTTTTAAAAGTGGTAATAAAAATCACCCATGCCCGAGAACCAATTAATTTCTTTGTGTGGCCTTTATTCTGTTTCTATGGAATGTGTAAATGCATGTGTTTTGTTGTTTAGGGTGATGATGTAGCTGTTGAATTTGGTGGTTATTTTCCGGTCCAGATATGCCCCACAAATCACCACTGACATCCAGAGGATCTCTGAGCCCAGTGTGAGTGGTGGGCTGTTTCTAACCAAATATCTTGCGTCTGCCACTGAATGTGTCTGACCATATTGTAAAATGTGTAATGTGCAACCATTTTTGTTTCTACACTGATGATCATATTAAAAACAACCGCTACGATTTCCTATAATCTTTATGTATTATGTGTATTGCGCGCGTGTGGTGGGATTATCTTATATGCATTAGGGGATTCCTGCCCAATTTTAAGACAAGTCCATAATTAAAACCAATTGATATCCTAGTATTCGGACCAGTCCATAATTAAGATCAATTCATAACATTCCAGAAATGGTCTTAATAGCAAGGTTTCACAGTATAAGACACCTTGGTCTTTATGGCAGGATTTCACTGTCTTTAAACAAGGCTATTTTTTATCTTCATCAAAGTTCATCTTCTGCATCAACCAAAAGCGTGAGTGACGAATCTTTCTTAGCTTTTTTCTTATTCTTACGTTTCGCATCCGCCGCTTCGTCATCTTGGTATCCTTGATTGTTGTAACTTAGTAACGAACCAGGAATGTCTACATGCCCCCCGTCACACGAGTGTTTGTCTCCGGCTATGGAAGTCATTTCTTCCACAGGGTAAACACGATTATCGTTAAAATGTTTTTTATGTTTGCTAACGTCTTGTTTTTGATTGTCTGCCGAAGAAGGTCTGGGTGGTAATTGTGATGTACCACCAGCAGGTATATTTTTTGATTGAACTGCATCTTTACTGCTTTGGCCTGCAACGAAAAGACAAGAAATGGAGTTAAACATTCTGTTTTCTGCACAAATATTGTAGACCTATACATATTTCATGTAAAAAAAACAAGGGATGTAACTCTTAAAAGTAATGGTCGGATGCGTACCAAATTCTAATTCACCAAAGAGAGAGAGAATTGGGGGTGGGAGAGAGAGAGAGAGAGAGAGAGAGAGAGATAGAGAGAGAGAATTGGGGTTCAACATCCACTGGACACAAACTAGGTCATTTCGGGACTTACACACGGTTCATTTTTATTTCAATAATTCGCTTGCACGTAGGGGTCTTTAGCAGTGGGAGGAAACCCACAAGGTTGGACAGGCGACCCTACTCCTCGTCACGTACAACCGGGGAATCGAAACCCCACCAGTTGACTCAATGATAAACCTTATGATAGAGCGTGCACGTGCTAACCATTTGGCCATCCACCTCCCTAACTCACCCAAGAACATTTGAAACTTAACACAAATTTTAAGTTTCATCTGAATTGGACAAAAATTGTCGCTTTCGGAAAGTCAACAAACTTGGTATTAACTGCTTTTACATTATTTGCGTATTTTCATTCTATAATTTGCTTGTGCGTACGGGTGTTTAGCGTTGAGAGGAACTGGAAGAAAACCTGGAGGTTGGACAGGCGAACAGCTGGAGTATGGATGAAAGAAACAAAAAAAAAGATTTTCAGCATTGGTTTACATGTGTGAGTGGTGCAGAACGGAGGGACTGGCAAGGGTCGTTAGGATGGTATGAAAAATCAAGGTCCTGTAAACACATTAGAGGGCATTGAAAAAATCCCTTGGCAGTTGGAATTTGATGCAAGTGTATCCAGGCAAAATTTCCCTCATAGCACACTGTTTTCATTAGCCCCGACAAAGCGGAGGGCCTGACAAGGACAGCTGTCTAGTCCTTCGACAAAGCAGAATAGTAAGTCCTTTTATCCCATTTCATTTCTACCATTGATAACAATAAAGTGATTGATTAATTACCTTCATTTATGTTGACATCTTGAACCCAGGCGATTTGTTCCACCATGTTTGTTAGAGCTGCAGGATTATTTACCAATGAAGATGAAGAATCATCACGTTTCAGTTCCTTGGCAAACTTTTTACGATATTTCTTCACATGGAAAGGTTTCTTGCTTCCCTTCTGTTTGTGTCGTTTTAACTCTATTAGGATGGATTTCGTTACTCTCTGAAAAATATATACACAAAACATTTAGGATGGATTTCGTTACTCTCTGAATAAGATAAACAAAGACAAAACAAATCAAAGATACTATTTGTCATATGTCGGTTTGTTTTTTAATCTCGTGGAAACTACATAATTATTTACATAAAGTTACTGATTATGAATTTGGTTACATAGTATACACATAAATACTTAGTTTAAAACTTATTTTGAAATTATATAAAGCTAAAAGTTGGTATAACTTGACGTAAAACAGTTCCTGGCATTAATTGTTACTTAAAGGGTCATAAACTTTGGGTAGGTTTATACCCAACATCTAGGTTGAGCCTAGGGTGGTTTTTCTTTATGTGGATAGCTTCTAGTATCTGTCTTGGTTTTTTGTGATTTTTTTTTAATCCCTTGCAAGCTAAAACCTCTCAGTAAAAAGGCAGTAGAAAGAGTGATTTGGCAGTAAATTAGGCTGTTTCGCCTAACCCAATCAACCAGCTAAAACCAACCTGGCTTAAATTATTTTATTGCACTTTTTCGTGATCATTTATTTTAGTTTGTTTATTAACTTGAAATATATCACAAGAGTTTTTTCCCTTTACTATGGCTATGGTTTGATTCATTATTGAAACTGGTTAATCAAGACAAAATCGTCAGGCCAAAATGGTTCAATTCTGCTCAATATTTACAAAGATAGGTTGAATTAAAAAATACATGATTTGGTGTAAACAAAATTCGGCGTCCACACAAATTCGTGTTCACACAATTTGATGTTCACAAAATTTGGTGTTCACATGTTTTTGTGTTCACACGATTTTGTGTTCATGGACGTAGTTGTGCCCATATTCATAAAAAACTGCGGGGTTTAATGGCTGAATGGTAAGCACGTTCGCGCGCTGTATCATAAGGTCTGTCATTGAGTTAGCTGGAGTGGTTTCGATTCCACGGTTGTACGTGACAAGGAGTAGGGTTGCCTGTCCAACCTCGTTGGTTTTCTCTGGCTCCTCCTACTATTAAAGACCCCTACGCACAAGCAAATTATTGAAATAAAATTGAACTGTGGAGTGGACGTTTATCTCTCTCTCTCTCTCTCTCTCTCTCTCTCTCTCTCTCTCTGCAACTTACCCTCCAATTGCTTTTAGCAGCCTTTGATTGTTTAGCACTAGATTTATTTGCGGCCTTGATAACCACGAGAGCTCGACTGTTACCACCATCATCTGTTTTACTGTCAGTCGTTAAACCAATTGAATATTCTTCTTGAAACTTTAACAACTGTTTCTTTGTGAAACCTCTTTCTAATACCACCACAATTTTAGCCCACTGAAAAAAATATTAAAACATTGAATCATTTTACTTCAAATCGAACCCTTGCAAACTACAATATTATGAAATGAAATGAAATGGGGTTTAATTCCTACTGTTTTGCTCCAAACTGGGCTAATGAAGACGGGCATAAGCCATACAGTGTGCTATGACAGAAATTTTCCGGCCAGCGGTGCTACAGACTACTCTTATATCAAATTCCAACTGCCAAGAGATGTTTCCCCTGCACTCCATAGTGTACATTGGATCTCAGTTTCCGTTCCATCCGAACGACTAGACAGATGTCCTTGTCAGGTCCTCCACCACTGACAAGGGGAGGGGGGAAACCACGTCGGAATATTATGAAAGATGAACCTCTTACAGGAATATCAGTTCAAAATTTATACTACTACAATTTTAAACATCTAATTGAGAGAGGGAGCCATGGTGACTAAGTGGGTAAGACGCTAGCCCACTAGTCTGACGGTCGGGTGTTCGATTCCTGCATTGGCCGAGAAAGTTCATCCAGATGAGGTAAATTTTTCCCAACAGCAACAGTAGGATCTACGCTTATATCAAGTTCCAATTGCCATGGTATCTTTCACGTGCACGACAATGTGTACACGGGACCTCAGTTTTCTGTCCCATCTGAACAACTATACGTCCATTGTCAGGCAATCTGACAAATGGAGGAATCAGGCTGGAAAATCCTCATGAACTTTGCTTCGTAACAAGAATACTCACCTGTCTTCTCCATTCTTTTTCTGACTTGGTGTTAATATTATGGTATGTATTACCCATCATAGCTATCAACATGTTCAACAATAGAATAGGTACTAATATCATAAATAACGTAAAGATAAACTTCGTTAGACCAACATATCTCGCATAATTAAACGTCTCATACTGAAAATATCAAAATGTAACATAAATAATTATCAATTTTATCCAAACTAAAACATAGATCCTGATTTGTTTATTTTTTACTTGTCTTTACTACACTAGGTTCTGAAAGAGTTGTTATATAACAGGTGTTCTAGTTCATGCGAGGAATTAGCCAATGAAACGGACTGTTACGGCCAGTTCTTGACAAGCTCTGCACGGAACTTTGGGTAAACCCCTAGAAACGTCAACGCTGATTGATTAATCAATCAATGTCGGACGTCATAAGGTCAAAAGTAGACCATAGAGCCGCTGTCTGGACAAAATTTTCCTCATAGCCATGTCAAAGCAGAACAGTAGGACGTTAAACCCCATTTCATTTCATTTGTACCGAAAATATCAAAATAGAATCCTACTACCGCTAAATCAGGGCTTCGACCGTCGGTTATTTTTGGTAACGCACGGAAACTTTGCAAATTAAAATAATATTTCATGTTTTTTATATATGGTATGGCATTGGGAATTCATGCATCCATACCACTCTACACAACGAAATGATAATGGACTACGAAATAAAATCATTTCAGCCTTCATGCTTCAGATTTTAAACCTGTCTTAAGATGTAACATATATTTTAATGCTGCCGTCCATACACCTGTTGTCAGCTGTGTTATGCACAGACTAGTTGTAGACTGTGTTATGCACAAGACTTCAGTCAGTTTATAAATAGATCAGTGGACGATGATATCCTGATGTTATTTTAAGGGACAATAACACTCTGGCTGGCTTGAGAGTTCCAGAAAATAAAAAATAGCCTTATTCTAAGTACTAGATGTGTTGGTGTCCTACCTGTTGTGTAAATTATCCATTAAATCATATTTTACTTGTCCAGAGGGTTCAAAAATATTTTTAAATCCAAGTCACATTTAAAAAGCTTTACGTCAGGCCTATCAAATCATTTAGTTGAATTTTTCAAATTTTTTAAATTGGGTGTGTTAAGATGAAATTTGTATCATCAATTAATTGGAATATTGTAAAATAGTACAATTTGTTGACCAGAATAAAGATTGGGACATATTATTCAGTTACAACAAGAGTGGTATTGAGCCTTTAAACTTGACAACCAAACCATATGTTAGTCCCAAAGCGAATTAGTTTGTGTTGGGTGGCTCTCTATTTACCTTGAACTCGCCTAAGGTCATCTGAAACAAGTTTAAAACCGTTTCCCACGGAGTAGAAAACTTTAAAACTTCTGTACTATCAGCATTGACATCACGAAATAAAAAATAAAATCCTGGAACAGAATAAAAAACAGAATGCAATTTAACAGATCAGTAAATTTCAACAAAACATAGGTTGCCAGCCAAGTCGTCTGGACAGATCATAATGATTGCTGGCTCGCTAGCCTGGAGGTCGGGTGTTCGATCCCTGCATTGGCCAAGAAAGTTCATCCAGATTTTCCGGCGTGATTCCCTCTTGTCAGTTATGCAGGACGGACGGCCTGACAAGGACAGCTGTCTAGTTGTTCGGATGGGACGATCATAATGACTGCTGCGCCATTGCTACCATAATAAAAAAGTCTTGATAGTCTATTGTAACGTCAACCGATTAAATATCGGGAAGGATTAATCCTCTAAAGTTCACAGCCATCCGATGTTCTAGAGAGTTAATTATAGCCTTGTCATGTAAATAATAGATTATATAACATTTGAAGCAAAAAAAACCTACAAAGAGAGAGAGAGAGAAATGGGGTTTAACGTCCACTCAACACAAACTTCGTCATTTTGGGACTAACATGTGGTTTAATTTTATTTCAATAATTCGCTTGCATGTAGGGGTCTTTAGCAGTGGGAGGAAACCGGAGGACTCGGAGAAAACCCACGAGGTTGGACAGGCGACCCTACTCCTTGCCACGTACAACCGGGGATTCAAAACCACGCTAGTTGACTCAATGACAGGCTTTATGATACAGCACGCACTGGCTAACCATTCGGCCATCCAACCCCGAAAGACCTACAATTGGCAGATGTAGCTCTTGTATAATGTAGGTTTCAGTGACACTTTATAGAACATTTGAAGTAAGTATAAAGAGAAAGAGAGAGAGATATGGGGTTTAACGTCCACTCGACACAAACTAGGTCATTTCGGGACTAACATATGGTTTTAATTTTATTTACATAATTCGCTTGCGCGTAGGGGTCTTTAGCAGTGGGAGGAAACCGGAGGACCCGGAGAAAACCCATGAGGTTGGACAGGCGACCCTACTCCTTGCCACGTACAACCGGGGATTCGAAACCACGCCAGTCGACTAAATGACGACTTTATGATACAGCGCGCGCACGCTAACCATTCAGCCATCCAACCCCCGAAGTAAGTATAAAGACCTACAATGGGCAGTTGTAGCTCTTACATAACAAATCTTTAATTAAATTTGTCTTTATTTTCTTTATTTCTTATCAGATGCCAGTTATATTAAAAAACATAGGCCTCAGATTTCATGGCTTTCCCCAAATATGGGATATAACAGGAGAACTCGTAAAACAGATCCAGACTATGGAAGGATAACATTGCCAATATTATTTCAATGTTCACGGTGCAAAATACATTGATTGTATTCCGAAAGTCTGTAAATATGATGTTTCCAAATTGCCAATATGTAATATTGAACACAATAAATATCTATGACATACAGAAGTCATGGTTTTACTGAAACCAGATAATAATAAATGAAGAGGACCAGAGAAGAACGATGGAAGTCACTTTTTCAACGAACCCGAGTTAATGGCGCCATCTGGTAGCAAATTGTATAAGCTTTCTGTGGAACAATCAATTTCAGGTAAAATCCATCAGAGTCATAACTAACCAAGGCCCTTCTGAAATGCCCCCCCCCCCCCCGGACAAATACGTCCATCTTACCCTTTATTTCACCTTAATTTAGCTGAAAAGTTGAAGTCAGTTGTTGTACTGGTAATTATGATTCGTATTAAACATCATTTTGAAGTTGTAATTAAACCCACTTGTTGTTCTGTTCGCGTCAAGCATTCTCGTCCAAAAGTTTGTTTTGCCTTTTATGCGAAAAGATAAAAATGTGACATAGATCAATCTTCCTCTGGACTCTTCAAATGATTTCCACCGCTAGTTTCTAAGAATTATCGACACATCAATTTGTTCCACAGGCTACATTTAAACCCTTGGCGGACCAGATCCTCCGCGTGCCGCATGTTTGACACCCCTGTTCTACAGTATAATTTTAACAATATTGTTCATCTGTTTTTTAGACAGTACTATAGATAACAGGGCAAACTTTTATGGGGATACAATCATTGGTTTTATTTTAGAAGTACGAAGTTAAGAGAGAGGGAGAAATGGGGTTTAACATCCACTCGACACAGACTAGGTCATTTCAGGACTAACATATGGTTGAACTTTATTTCCATAATTTGTGGGAGGAAGCGGAGGACCCAGAGAAAACCCACAGGGTTGGACAGACGACCCTACTCCTTGTCACATACCACCGGGGAATGGAAGGGGAATCAAAACCACGCCAGTTGACTTGACTCAATGACAGACTTTATGATACAGCCTGCACATGCTAACCATTCAGCCATCCACCCCCCCTGGCCCTACGAGAGAGAGAGAGAGAGAGAGAGAGAGAGAGGGGTTAAATGTCCACTCGACACAGACTAGGTCATTTTGGGACTAACATATGGTTCAGTTTTATTTCAATAATTTGCTTGCGCGTAGGGGGAGGAAACCGGAGGACCTGGAGAAAACCCATGAGGTTTGACAGGCAACCCTACTCCTTGTCACGTATAACCGGGGATTTGAAACCACGCCAGTTGACTCAATGACAGGCCTTATGATACAACCTGCACGTGCTAACCATTCGGCCATCCCTCCCCCCCCCCCCCCCAACTTTCTCATAATCAAGGGAACAAGCCATCATTTTGCTGTGAACGTAAACAATGAAGCTAAGACTAGTTTGTAAACTGTTTTTTGATTGGTTCGTACAATCAAGCTACGATCAAGAGCAGATAACTTAATTAGGTGAATGAGATCACTGGGGATACCAAGAATGCATTGCCCTTGACAACGATAATAGGATACTTGTCGAAACTTTGTGGTCATTGTTTCCCCAAAAATTGTGCTCAGTTACTAAACGCCATTTAAAGATTAAGTGATTTAGATGAGTTAAACGACCACTACTCACCTTGAGTAAAACCTAATAAAAATATTAAATAAACAATTCCAAATCGTATTAAATCTTGCGTACACATCTGATAAACCATGGTTACAAAAGGTCCTGTGGTACGCATACCCCTGGAACAAACAATAACAAAACAAATCTATATAATATTAATACTATATTTACAAAAGAGAGAGAGAGAAATGGGGTTTAACGTCCACTCGACACAAACTTGGGAATTTTGGGACTAACATATGATCTTGGTGGTAGTAGCAAATATTCAAGAAAACCCACAAGGTTGGACAGGCGACCCTACTCCTTGTCACATACAACTGGAGATTCGAAACCACGCCAGTCGACTTAATGACAGGTCTTATGATACAGCACACATGTGCTAACATTTCGATCATCCAACCACCCACTATATTTACAAACAGTCAAATGATAGTGAATTGAATTCTTAGATTTTCATGCCTCAGGATGGATAGGTCCAGTAATTCAAATATTTCGATGTGATGATTGGAAAACTTTCTACATCCACTGAAGACCATATGTAGTCAACAAAATCCAGCTCAATCTGATTACAATACAGATCTATATTTCGTTTCGTTTTTTTTTTATACTTTCGATGGCCTACACTACATGAAGATCTGACCGGTTGTAGCGATAGGTCACGTCAGGTGTCATACGAGCAGCTTTTGACCTTACGACGCCAGACATTGATTGATCAATCAGCGTTGATGTTTAAAGTGGTTTACCAAAAGTTCTGTGCACCTCTTGTCACAACCTCGTCGTAACAGACCGTTTCATTGGCTAATCTCACTCATGATTCAGAACGCAGGTTATGTAACAACTCTTCCAGATAGTGTAGTAAAGGTAAGTAAAACGAAATTTTGAACAATAAAAAAAAGAAACGAAATACAATCAGATTGAATTCAGCGCCACCTATGATTATTGCTTATCTAGCGTTGATATTTTCATTTGGTTTTGTTACATATAAATAACCAAACTGGGTAAATTTTAGTGTGTATTAAACATACATTATGCAAGAGCTAAATCTGCCTATTGCAGGTCTTTCTTTAGGCCTGAAATGTTATCTAAATTATTAATTAACTTATCCAGACCATAATCAACCCTCGATGCCATCGTTAGCCTACGATATTTAGTGGATTGGAATACATTTTTTGAAAAATAATTAAACGTAAAAATGGATAATCGAGACTGTTTTTTATCATTCCGACTTTAGTAATGATGATCGAGACTAGCCTAAAATTCAAAAGCTAATATCTCGGTTCAGAGTGGAACAATTTGACTGAAATGTTCAGCATATTCTATTTACATTATCTAGTTTTTAACTATGATAGCGAGAACTGTCAACTCTTAATCTACATCTTACATAATGTATATCTAAGTAACAACGGTACAAAGTTTTACTCACCGAGCAAAGAATAGGAGGTAGAAGAAAGCCCCTGGTACAGCAATGGTCAATAATGTATCTTCTACATCATGTAATTTAAAGACACGGAATGGTACACAAAATAATATCAACAAACATGATATTAAATAAATAGTTTGATCCACGGCATGTTTCTATAATAAACAAACACAATAATAAATAGGGAGCTCCAGTGGCTCGGGGAGTAAGATATCAGCGTGCACGTAAAAGATCCCTTGGCAGTTGGAATTCGATACAAGAGTAGGCCGTAGAGCCTAAAAATTTTATTCTGAAATGTTAAAGCTATTGAATTGAAAATAGTACAAGTAGTTAGGAAATGTAATAAACAAGGGAAAACTAGCATTAAAAAAAAAGTTGTTGCCAGGGTAACACATTTTTTGGGGAAAAAATTATGATAAACGTAGGTACACTATATCTCTGTAACTAATTAAGATATCTTCGCCAAATTTGCAGGATATATAAACTAATATCTACCACAGAATCAGACAGAAAGCAATTTCAATTATCATTAATATTTCAAAAGTTTTCAAAATATTTTTTTTTTTTTTTTTTTAATGCTAGTTTTCCCTTGTTTATTACATTCCTAACTACTTGTGCCATCTTCAATTCACTAGCTTTAGAATTTCAGAAAGCATTTTTCGGGTAGCCTCACCCCTTAACAGACTGTGCATACACCATACAGTGTGCCATGAGGACAGTTTGCTGGACAATTCATGTTTTTGTGTACATGCACACCATAAGTACATAATATCCAATTTATTAGACGCAACTTAATTAAACTCCCTTCCTCTGCTTTTTTTTATTGCAGTTCTGTGTTCAAGAGACCTTTTTTGGATGAAAAGGGAATATAAAGAGAGAAAAAGAGAGAGAGAGAGAAATGGGGTTTAACGTCCACTCGACACAAACTAGGTCATTTCGGGACTAACATATGGTTCAATTTTATTTCAATAATTCGCTTGGGCGTAGGGGTCTTTAGCAGTGGGAGGAAACCGGAGGACCCGAAGAAAACCCACGAGGTTGGACAGGCGACCCTACTCCTTGTCACGTACAACCAGGGATTCGAAACCACGCCAGTTGACTCAATGACAGGCCGTACGATACAGCAAGCACATGCTAACCATTCGGCCACCCAACCCCCCTATAAAGAGAGAAAGAGAAATGGGGTTTAACATCCACTCTATACAAACTACATTATTTCAGGACTAACATATGGTTCAATTTTACAATAGCACGCAGGGATCTTTAGAAGTGGGAGGAAATGAAAACACCAGGGAAAAACCCTATTCCTTGTCACGTGCAAGCAGGAATAGACAAATACAGTGTTTTGTAGGAGTGCTATTTATGGAGACAGTTTTTCAGAATTAGGGATTGGTTGATTAGGGATTGGTTGATTAGGGATTGGTTGATTAGGGATTGGTTGATTAGGGATTGGTTGATTAGGGATTGGTTGATTAGGGATTGGTTGATTAGTATTTTAGAGCACAGACAAGATTATGATTTGTAATCGATGTGATAGAAACATTGAATAGTCTAACTGTACACAAATAAACAAACAAATTAAATGTATAAATAATAAAAAACTGATAAAGTTTTTTACGCCATACTTAAACAATTTACACCATACTTGCACAATAAACGCCACACTTATACAAACTACGCCATACTTATACAATCTACGCCATACTTACACAATTTTTAAAGAATGAAGAAACCCCAAGAGCACCAATTTCTTTAACTTCAACAGCTATAGACGCAATACACAAAATACAGGTAAATATTTCAGCCACAACACGCACCTGGGGATACAAATATAAAACATTAAAATAATGATGTGTCATTTACATTTTACACTAAAATAACTAATTCCTCATAGCTTAATCTCGGTTAATATGTATTCAAATTGAATATAGAAGATTTATTTAAAGGGACTATCCTGATTTCAAGGGAGTCTCAAAAATAAAAGTCGGAGTACGTATGAAATTTAAGCACCAAAATATAGAGGAATGGTGTATTTACCTTATATCAAAATTCCAGCTCAAAATATTGAGTCGTTTGGACATGAACGTCAAAACTGCTTATCCGGACACGTAACCCTTTTAAGATTTCGGGTCAGTTTTTTCGTTGGGTGACCTGATAATCGTTGGGTGACCTGATAATCGATTCCCGTTCCTTGAGAGGTCTATATAGTGAATGACCCATGTACTCTACTTGATAACGAAAGGCAAATTTCACCTACACATTATTTTTATAAAATAAAAGTCTAGTTTTATCCAGATATCGCATAATACAGCTTGGGACACCAGTCTCCATTTCCAGATGAAGACTGGTGGGTTTAAGTTGTTTGAAAACTTATCAAAAATAGTGAGTTAGTTGCTCGGCCCTTAGCTAGAGGAATTTAAGGGATTTTAACACAAAATTAAGCAGTTTGATTCTCCAAATAATATCGAGATTAGCCCTTTAAGATAACAAAATCACAATATTATATCCCAGGCTTGGATTTAAAATAGGCCTATGATTTCTGTTCACCTATACCAAACTGATGGCAGGTTAATTACATATATAGATCAATGAGATTTCAATTCAACATAACTTTGTAAATAGGCCTATCATTTCTGTTTGCCCACATCAAACTGCCGACAGCTTTATTACATAGGAAGCAGCACAGATCAATGAAGTAAAGAAATTTCAATTAATCATAAATATTGAATGTCATTCAACCATTTTTTGGACTGATATTCATTACAGAGATTCATCTTTCACAATATTGTAGTTTTCCATAGCGTTAACTTTGTAAATATTGAATGTAATTGAACCATTTATTTACCATTAGAGAATACCTCGTTCACAATATTGTAGTTTACACAGAGATTCCTATAGCGCTAAATGATGCAATGAGAATTTAAAGTAGATGTTGCCATCAGGAACTAAGAGCGAACGAAAGGTTCACGTACTCTCCCAAGCTTTTATTTGAAGTTGAGTGAACATCACAGACTACAGAGTCTACAGTTTATATACCAGTCATTGACTTGTAACATGTCTACACAGTTTATACACCAGTCATTGACTTGTAACATGTCTACACAGTTTATACACCAGTCATTGACTTGTAACATGTCTACACAGTTTATACACCAGTCATTAACTTGTAACATGTCTACACAGTTTATACACCAGTCATTGACTTGTAACATGTCTACACAGTTTATACACCAGTCATTGACTTGTAACATGTCTACACAGTTTATACACCAGTCATTGACTTGTAACATGTCTACACAGTTTATACACCAGTCATTGACTTGTAACATGTCTACACAGTTTATACACCAGTCATTGACTTGTAACATGTCTATAGCGTGAAGAATAACAATAGAAATTTACTACAATACAATCAAGATTCTTTTGTTGTATGAGATGAGCTGGAGAGAGAGAGAAACAGGGTTTAACGTCCACTCGACACAAACTAGGTCATTTTAGGACTAACACATGGTTCAATTTTATTTCCATAATTTGCTTATGCGTAGGGGTCTTTAGCAGTGGGAGAAAACCCTTGAGGTTGGACAGGTGACCCTTCTCCTTGTCATGTACAACCGGGGAATCGAAGTCCCCGTCAGTGGACTCAATGACAGACTTTATGATACAGCGTTGTATAAGAGACTTTTTTTCAATTTGATACTCACAATATCTTTTGATCCTGAGATGATTAGTAGACTCATCCGACTGGGACGAGTATAAATAGCAACACTTATAAGGGCAAGATGAATAAAGGCAATTAGAAGTCGTAACAAAAAACGAGACTGAAAATAAATAAAAAATATATATCAAAATATGATTGAAATACTTTCTTTTCAATTTGAGCACTTATATCTAACAAATTAACTGCAATATTATTGCATCAGGCATACAGAAGCCAATCGTACAATATTGGGCAGACAGAAGCCAATTGTACACCATCACAAGTGTATTCAGGAATTTGTGTAGGGGGTTGGCCAAGGTAAAGAAACAAAGTTGAGATTGACGCAGCGGGGTAAGTCCAAGGTGAAGACATCAAGTTTGGAGTGGTGGTAGAGGGAAAGTGGAGGGGGTCCAAGGTGGAGAACTTCAAGTTTAGCATGGCAGGTTGTTAAAGGTGAAGACAATGTCAAGTTTAGCTTGAGGTTATTACCTGAGACAGCAGAAACCCTGGGACAATATTCTGCACATATAGGATTAGAGTGGAATGATGTCAAAATGGAGGCAATGCTTCACACGTTTGATGTTATTTCGAAGAATGTATGAGAATAAAATATGCCTCCAAGAGTATGGAACTATCCAGATCATCCCCCCCCCCCCCCCCCGCCCCATCCTGACACACACCTGAACATGGTAGTCGTATACAGCCATATTAATTCAGTATGACATAATGTAATGGATATTTTGCCCAGGCAGCGGCGCTATGACCTACGGTTATTTCAGTTTCCACCGCACATGGGGCCCAAGTTTTTCATAGCACATTTAAGACTAGATTTGTCTTTCTCAGGCCTTCCATCATGCACCGCCAGACTGGAACTTTCTCTGAGTCACTGTGGCTCCCAGTAACATCATAAATTATTTTGTTTCGCCTTACCCGAGCAAATGTTTTCCATTTTTCATCGAGCAGCTGCCTCATAACACCACCCTGTAACATATCTAAATGTTCATCAGTCTTTCCATCTACGATTATCATTAAAGCTGAATTCCAATCTAAAAATATACACAAAAATAAAACCTGGTTTATCTTGCAGGATCAGATTCAGCTTCAGGGAACAAAGTCATCATGAAAATTGTTCAACATGTTTAGCATAGAACTTTTATTACAAATTATAAGTTAGAGGGGAGTAAAATGAAAAAAATGAAATGGAGTTTAACATCCTACTGTTCTGCTCCTAACCTGGGCTAATGAAGACGGGCATATGCCATACAGTGTGCTGTGAGGGAAATTTTGCCCGGGCAGCGGCGCTATGGCCCTACTCTTATATCGAATTCCAACTGCCAAGGGATCTTTTACGTGCATGCCAATGTGTACACGGGACCTCGGTTTTCCGTCACATCCAAACTAGGTTATTTCGGGACTAACATTTTATTTCAATAATTTTATTGCGGGTAGGGGTCTTTAGCTGTGGGAGGAAACCGGAGGACCCGGAGAAAACCCACGAGGTTGGACTGGCGAGCCTACTCCTTGTCACGTACAACCGGGGAATCGAAAACACATCAGTTGACTCAATGATAGACCTTATGATACAGCGCGAACGTGCTAACCATTCAGCAATCCAACCCCCGAAAAGTCCAAATAAACAGCTTTAATCCTAAACCAACATATTTCTAAGAATAATAAATTAAAAATTTGTTGAATAATAATAAAAACTTACTGGCTCGACCGTATGGACCAATAGAATCTAAAGCTTGTATTGGATACATTGAACAGGTAATGTTACTATACTTCCACATATCCTACAATAATATCATACAATAATTACAAAATATACACAATTACAGCATAATATACACAATTACAACATGATATACACAATTGCAAAATAACATACACAATTACAACACAATATCACCCAATTATTACCAAATAATATACACAATTGCAAAATATACACAATAACATCATTAAAAAATTACAAAATATAAGCTGAGTTGTTGTGTTTGTGTCCCAAAAATTTACTAAACATATGTAACAGTCGAACCGAAGGACGAACGAATTCATTTTAAAGATGCAATATGTAAGATTTAAATAAAGAGTTGATCGTTCTTGCTATAATAGTTCAAAAACAGATAATTCAAAATTAGTATATTGAAAATTTCATTCAAAATACTTTATTCTTAGCAAAGTTATGACTGTTGGCGTGGATTGTTTATTATGCTAGCAACGGTAACTGACAATCAAGGCTAAGTCTTGATTATCCATTCTATCTGACAGGCATCCTACCTAATTCATTTAAATCTTAGTCATCCGAGTTGATTATAGTCTTGTCATGTGCACAAATGTCTAAATAATTGTTTATATAACATTTGAAGCCAAAATAAAGACGTGCAATATTAGGTCTTAAATAATGCATCTTTAATACAAGGGCCATAACTAATGTCTGACTAATAAAATCAACAAAATTTATCAAAATAAGAGAGAGAGAGAGAGAGAAACTAGCTTATTTCGAGACTAACATATGGTTCAATTTGATTTCAATAATTCGCTTGCGCGAAGGGGTCTTTAATTAGCAGGGGTAGGAAACCGGGGACCCAGAGAAAACCCACAAGGTTGGACAGGTGGCCCTTCTCCTTGTCACGTACAACCAGGGAATCAAAATCACACCAGTTGACTCAATGACAGACCTTATGATACAGCGCGAACGTGCTAACCATTCGGCCATCCAACCACCCTTATATAAATATGAAAAATATTTGATGATAAACGTAGTCTGTAGAGTGTTGCCAAGACACAATTGACTGGCAGACGGACAGGGGCAACAGCAATATACAACCCCCTGTCAATGTAGGTGTATAAAAACTTACTATACTATTTAATTCAAGCATTTCTAGAAAAATTTGATGTCGTCCTAGTTTACTGGCTAATGTTAGTGGAGTTAAATTAGCTTTGTTCTGAATTTCTGTCTTGGCTTTCTTCTTGTGATGTTGAACAGCGTATTTATACATTCTCTACAATAGATACAGATATAAATAGAAACGAGGTTTAACATCTTCTCTGGTCTTCATTAACCTGCTTGGTACAGACTAGTAGGACATATAGAAGGGAACCTTAGAGAAGAGAAATAAATGAAATGAAAATGAAATGGAGTTTAACGTCCTACTGTTCTGCTCCTAACCTGGGCTAATGAAGACGGGCATACGCCATACAGTGTGCTATGAGGGAAATTTTGCCCAGGCAGCGGCTCTATGGCCTACTCTTATATCGAATTCCAACTGCCAAGGGATCTTTTACGTGCACGCCAATGCGTATACGGGACCTCGGTTTTTCGTCCCATCCGAACGACTAGACAGCTTTCCTTGTCAGCCCCTCCGTCCTGCATCACTGACAAGGGAGAACCACGCCGGAAAATCTGGATGAACTTTCTCGGCCAATGCAGGGATCGAACACCCGACCTCCAGGCTAGCGAGCTAGCGTCTTACCCACTTAGCCACGTGATCCCCCCTTAGAGAAGAGAAGTATCATCTTATCAAACAAAGAAAAACTGTTCATAACGGTATAAATTGTCACCAGAGCTAATTTATATAATGAATATAATTCATCTAATAAATATAACTGATATAATGAATATAACTGATATAATAAATATAATTAAGATAATGAATATAATTTAGATAATAGAAGGAATAGAATTAAGATAATCAATAGAATTAATAGAATAATTAAGATAATGACTATAATATAATTAAGATAATAGAAGGAATAGAATTAAGATAATAGAAGGAATAGAATTAAGATAATAGAAGGAATAGAATTAAGATAACAGAATGAAGATAATCAATAGAATGAAGATAATCAATAGAATGAAGATAATCAATATAATGAAGATAATCAATATAATGAAGATAATCAATAGAATGAAGATAATCAATAGAATGAAGATAATCAATAGAATGAAGATAATCAATATAATGAAGATAATCAATAGAATGAAGATGATGATTAGAATAAAAATAAGATAATTAAAAATGAATAGTGAGTTTTGTTGCAACATAAAGTAATGTAACATACCGGTTGATTGGCTATAACCACCATATGTAGAACAGTATTACCAAATGAATCTTGTTTATTGGGATCTGCTCCATGATCAATTAAATAATCGTATATTTCCTGGTGATTTAAACATGCAGCGAACGCCAGCGGATATTCACCATAATACGCATAACCTAAAATAATACATCATATAAATATCAAATTAACACATTAAAGATAGGTTCCAGCGTACAAACTGGGTGATTTAATGGTATATATGGACCAAAAACATATTCAAACTAATTAATTTGTCATAATTATGCTACAAATCCTTCTCAAACATTGTAATTGCGAAGGAATGCCCTGCTATTAAAATTCGATCAAACCAGGTCATGTTTACGTCACGTCTTGGGAGTCAGAGGAGAATTCATTGCATACATAAGACGATGTTGTCTTTAATTGCTTACTATTTATTACAAATATCGAATCCTAATTAAATTCTCGGATTATCCACTACCCGCATCTTTTTCCGTCATTTTTATCTCAGAAAGTATTGTACGTCTAACTCTTCATAAAGTTTATCAACTTGTACATCAAGCGCTCAATGTTCGCTTGTGACCTTTGACATCACGCGTGCAGAAGTCCCTAATCGTCGGGCTGTTGATTACGGGAACCCTTACATTTTTGTCCTGTATAAGCTCCATGAGTGTTTTTCGGGGAATCCAGTATTTTTCTAGTAAGATTGGATATCTCTACTTTCCAAATATACCAAAATTGCCATACTTTTATTGGAAATAAGCACCCGATAAATACTTTTCTGAGAACCCATCTTTAAACACTAACTGTCCTAAACTACTACTAGTTCTCGTGCCTCAAATCATTTCATTTAAACAAGTTTATTAGCCTACTATAAAAAGATTGGATAAAAGTTACGTAAACTTACGAAACATTTTTTTTATTAAGTACATGAAATTATTCAAGATAACACTGTGAAGAATTCTCATTTTATATAATCATCCCCACCTTCATAGTTCGTTTGATTGGCATTTTTTCCCGCTTTTACGTCTTCTGGCAAGAAGAATTGGCCTGTTGCTCGTTGATTTACGTCTGCACCGTTTGCTACTAGCATCTTGACCGCGTCTATATCGCCATACACCACAGCGATATGCAGACAACTTTCACCTACAATAACAAAAAATAATCTACAATTCTCAAACAATCTGATTAAAATACAGATCTATATTTTGTTTTCGTTTTTTATACTTTTGATGGCCTACACTACATGAAGATCTGACCGGTTGTAGTGATAGCTTGCGTCAGAGGTCACACGAGTGGCTTTTGACCCTATGACGTCAGACATTGATTAATCAGCCAGCGCTGACGTTTCTAGTGGTTTACCCACAGTTCCGTGCACAGTACGCCAAGAACTCGCTGTAACAGACCACTTCATTGACTAATCCCTCACATTAACCAGAACGTGGCTTATATAACAACTCTTCCAGATCCTAGTGTAGTGAAGATCAGTAAAACGAAATTTTGAACTATAAAATATGAAACGAAACAGGATCTGTGTTTTAATCAGAAAATATTAGAAAATATTGACTTGTACCTCATTTTTTATTTTTAGTAATCATAAATGTTATTCAGAATACATCATGCGTTATAAGAAATATTTGTAGTTTAATTCTATTTAAGGGAATGGAAGGTTATCGACCCTATTTTCTGAAGCTAACAATGACTTCTGGTGACATAATTCTGGCCTTGTTAACCCCAATAAAAATGGCCAGCAGACGAAATATTTAATCAGAAGCCCTATTGCCACCGAATACTGACTTCCATCTCAAATTCTTACCATAATATTCCCTGCCTTCGTAAATATCCAGGGACATTTTAGGGTACAGCGATAAAAATATCTTGGCAACTTCAGAATGCTCCGGGGTTCCCATGAGGTAGCATAGATGAAATGGAGTCTCTCCAACAGCGCCACGCTTATCAAGAATCCAGCATGCATCGTGTTGTGTAAAGGAACTGTATTTATCAAGTTCAAAAGTGTTCAGTTGGTCATTTGTAATTTTACTGATGCTGTTTGATATCGACTTCTCCTGAAATACATAAAAATAAACAGCTAACTTTATTCAACAGCATCCTGTGTCTTCGGCATGTTTGCTTAAACAAAATCAGCCCCTAAAACAAAAATCAACCCCTAAAACAAAATCAACCCCTAAAACAAAATCAACCCCTAAAACAAAATCAAACATTAAAGATACATTATTCAAGAGTAGGGCTGAGTAAAATATCGATATAAATCGACAGTATTGATTGGACGGCCCAGAAAAGCACTATCGATAGCGGTGGGTTACTATCGATTATCGCTCTTCGTCTATTTTTCTTGCGTCTGAAATGTCAATGTTTTCTTTCAGTTAATCATAATACACCGCTCACTTTAATTACTATCAAGTATCAATGTAACACATAACAAAATTGTGACTGCTTATTGAACAGCCGTTTTCATAAATTCACTCTCATTGAAACGTTACTTTAGTTTTGAAGAAATTATTGTTGAATATCGCTAAATCGGAGATACCCGGATGTGTAAATAAAGTTAGAGTTATTTCCCTTTGCAAGCTTCAGAATTCGTCTGCCATATTGATATTTTCGCGCGCACGTACGCAATGTTTTGAATCGGAACAAGTTCATTTTGGTCCCTTAAAATAATTATTTACGATATTTCTTCATTCGGAACCACGGCTGCGTTATTTTAATAATAAACAACATCAATTTACGTATATATACGAGATATAACAAGTTTTATTAATGTTTTCCAAATAAATCTCCTTAGACATGAGCAACGATCTTTCGCAACTTCGTATGGTTTTGAACTTTGAACTTACACTGTGTCCAGTCTTGATGACGATCGTGAAAATAAGTTTGTTTTCGATACTATCGATTATCGACTGACATTTCATTGCCGATTATCGATAGTAAAAATCACTATCGATACCCACCCCTATTCAAGAGCTAGATTTGCCTATTGCAGGTCTTTCTGTAGGCCTGAAATGTTATATGAATTATTAATTAGACATTACATTTATTAACTTATCCAGACCATAATCAACTCTCGATGGGATATGATAGTCAAGATTTTAACTAGATTAGAACGGTTCGGTCTTTTAATGATTTAATTTATAAATGGGGAAGCAAGGGTAAGCTTCGAATATAACAGTTGGCCTACCGTGGTTACGATAATAAACAATCAATGTAGACATATTGTTAAAACTACAAACAGTGATAACTTGGCTCAGAATAGAGTAAATTAAATGAAATTTTCAATGTATTCATTTTGCATTATCTATTTATATATTTATAAACCATTAATAGTATTATAGCAAGAACGACGAGCTCTTCATCTAATTCTTACATAACGTATCTTTAAACTCAAGATTTTCTAATAAAAAATAAAATCAATCATAGAGACACGGACAAAATGAAATGGAGTTTAACATACTACTTTTCTGCACTGACCGGGATAATGAAGACGGCCATATGCAATGCCATGTTCTATGAGGGAAATTTCGCATGGACAGCAGCGCTACAGCCTACTCTTATATCAAATTCCAAGTACCAAGGGATTTTTTACGTACACGTCAATGTGTACACAGGACCTCGGTTTTTCATCCCATCCGAACGACTATACATTGTCTTTTGTCAGGCCCTCAGTCCTGCACTACTGACAAGCGGGAACTATGCAGGAAAATCCAGATGCACTTTCTCTGTCAACATAGAGATCGAACACGGGACCTCCCGGTTAGCAAGCCACACCTTATTCACGGATGGAAGGAAGTCATTTCAATATTCTTTCCTAACTTCCATTTGGCTCAGATGAAATTTCTGACAGTGAAAAGTAGGTGACAGGACCCAATCCAGTACAGGTCTAGTCATTTGGATGGGACGAAAAAAAACACAAGGTACTGTTTACATATTGGTGGGCATGAATTCATAAAAAAGTATAGCTTGTAGCGCAAGCTGTTTGGGCAAAATTTCCCTCAAGGCACAGTGAGAAAAATGGGGTTTACGTCCACTTGACACAAACTAGGTCATTTCGGGACAAAAATACAGTTCAATTTTATTTCAATAATTTGCTTGCGCGTAGGGGTCTTTAGCAGTGGAAGGAAACTGGAGGACTCAAAGAAAACGCATGAAGTTTGACAGGCGATCTTACTCCTTGTCACTCTACTTAATTCAATGACAGACCCTATGATGCAATGCGCAGACGTTAAACATTCGACCATCCAACCCCCGCAGAGAAAGAGAAAGTTTGTACACTATTTTATGTACGGTAGTATAATATTCGACCTACCTTTAAATCCGTCTTGCCTTCAGCTTTGTTAAACCATTTCACGTATTCTAACTTCGTTATTGTTGAACTACCACCATTTTTATACAGATAATACGGTTCTATTTCCTTACGTATAGTCTCGATCACCTTGTCTCTTCCTTCTTCTTTATATTCTGTGATCAATCGTCCAGTCTTATCGATACTAACAAATTTATAAATTGGGTTATCCTTGACAGCTTTGTTTTGCGCTTTCCATGCCGAATCTGGATCGTTGTCATAGTGATGTCTTCGATTGATTTTGTTTCCCATGATCCTCTTTTTCAAAACCTTAAATCAGCCATTTTTAACAACTGTTGTATTAACATGAAAAAGAAGACAAACTAAAATGGAGAGAGAGAGAGTTAACGTCCGTAGCGCTTAGGGGTCTTTAGCAGTGGGGGAAAACCAAAGAGGTTGGACAGGCGACCCTACTCCTTGTCATGTACAACCAGATCGTGTACCGGTACCATAATGCGTTTCAGTGCTATTTGTAATAAGGGACTAGAAAAACGAGGCTAGGCAAATTCCACAAGTCATGTTAAACGGTGACGCTATATTCTTATCTGGAGAGCATGCCCAATAAATACTATCGGCGTAGACTGGAATAACCAGAAGCTAGAGATTGAAATTCGATTGAGAATACTGGCGTATGTCGGGGAACCTAACTATTAGAAATTACAGTAAAAAAGAAACGAATGAATGTAAATCAATTTATATACATTCATATTACATTATTGTATGCGTTGCGACCCATTTGTGTCAATTTCTAGGTCCCAAATATTAGCGACTTAGCTCCTTAAGTACAACTTTAAACTAGGTTTCTTTCAATTCATAGAATGAGAAACCTAAATAATGTGTAAACTAATTTTCTTATATCAATAATATAGGCTACTATATCTACTTTTAATAAGGTAGGCCTATCTATTCTCTCCACCATCCCTGTACTAGCTATCTCGAAAAATAAAAAAAACACACTCTCACCATATTTATCAGTCGATCTACCGGTAGGTGTCAATGAATGAACGTCGTTATATCGTGTCCGGATTATTGCCATCAATCAATGAAATCAACCATTCATAGCTATTATTTTGAATAAAATGGGTTTCACGTGTAACTTACAATCTATGTTAAGTTGAGGAAATAAATACAAGAAAGTTATTTCATCCTATATAAATAAAACAATAATCTTACCTATTTAATTAGCTAAACGTCTTAATCGACAGCCATCTTGTATTTAGAGGGTGTCACGTGATCCGTTGTTATCGTAAACAAACAAAACGATCAATTTATTTCCTCTGTTCTTGTTATGATAATAAACGCACTAAATGTTTAGACGAATTTTCCAAAGCCATCAGTAATTCAACCCATTTCACATTAATTACTACCTGTACGAACCATGTTGCTTTCTTTAAACATTCCTGTTTTGTGACTTTTAAATGATTTAATCGTACTTTTTAGTTTATTGGACAGTCCATACAACGGGACAGCCGTTTAAAGGGGCATAATTCGCTTATTATTAATTAGGGATCAGACTACGATATGGCTAGCTGGAATTATATGAGTTATATACACACTTTTACCCCCTCTTCTTTTACTGTTTTGTTTATCGCAATATTCTGATGGTTCGGACGTTTTTTAATTGTTGGCAATATATCACAGATTCTGATTTGCCTATCGATGGATTTCAACAAAACACTTTTAAAAATCCCTTGTCGGCAAAATCGTCGTCGGTGTAATACCCTTCAAATTTCAAATTTCGCTAACCAGTGAAATGAAATGGGGTTTAACGTCCTACTGTTCTGCTCCCACTGGGTTAATGAGGATGGGCATACGCCACACAGTGTGCTATGAGAGAAATTTTGCCCGGACAGCGGCGCTACGGCCCACTCTTATATCAAATTACAACTGCAAAGGGAATTTTTACGTGCACGTAAATGTATACACTGGACCTCTTTTTTTCAACCCAACCGAACGACTAGACAGCTGTCTTTGCCAGGCCCTCCGTCCAGCACCACTGACAAGGGGAAACCACGCCGGAAAATCCCAATGAACTTTCTCGCCCTAACAACGGGTTACGATTATCGAAAAATTTCCCTTTCCTTGAATTTATTAATAAACCAAGGCTATGATCGTTTCACGTTTGTCATATTACGTCATTTCCCCCTTCCATTGATGTAATGCGGTCATGTGACTATCATTATAGGATTTTAAACTCTCTAAAACCGATAAATGTGAGATAATTATATATTTATAGATTAATTTCTAATTAAGTAATTGTATTACTTAGTCTATATCTCAAAATTATCCAGGTGTGGGTGGGTGGCGTGTACATAAAAAAATTCTAAAACAACACTTGTTATGAGGAAAGTGTAACGGTCGAGTGCTTTATCCTTTATCACCAGATGATAGGATGGGATGGGAATTCAAAGCGTGAGATAATGATATAGACACGTGACCTCACAATAAATGATTTGCCTTCATCAAAAAAAAAAAAAAAAAAAAAAAAAAAAAAATTCACAACACTTATTCTCCATATTATATTTGCAAAACTCTTTTTTAGGCTCTCATTTTGCTTCATTAAAGTTTCCTGTCTAAATCGTGCTTAACTGATTTTATTTGCATATAGTAAAACTAAAATGTAGCGTATACTATAGTAGGTACATGTATTTAGAGTGTTTTTATGTGAAATGCCAGTTTCTGTGCATTGTCAAAGTGACCCCTGGGTACCCCAGATATACGCCAAAATGACGATAGAGACCAGGTATTTCACCAACAAAATTTTTAAGGCCGGGAGAAGAGAACCCACAGCCCGCCCCCACCAAAAAAAGATACATCGTCTCAGGAGCCCGGCAAACCCCCACCTGCAAAAAATCCTGGATCAGCCCCTGCAATGTCCAGACCCACCAATAGATAATAGAGGAATCATCAAAAGCTTGCAGTACACAAACTTGCTTTTTATCAATCAGAGAGAGAGAGAGAGGGGAGAGAGAGAGAGAGAGAGAGAGAGAGAGAGAGAGGGAGAGAGAGAGAGAGAGAGAGAGGGAGAGAGAGAGAGGGAGAGAGAGAGAGACTAATATGTGGTTAATGTATACAAATAGAGACTCAAACAAGGGGGAAGTTTAAAGGAGGTAAATCGCTATTATTTTGGCACCCAGAAATGCCAGGTCATTACGGTTCGGGACTAAATTATGGTTCAATATTTTTAAAGATAGTCGAGAAAGAGGGGAGTTTAAAGAATCTAAATCTCGATTCTTTGGCACCTAGAAATGTACATAAATGGACCGCAACCCATATAATAATGTAATATGAATGTATATAAACCGATTTACTGTAATTTCTAATCAGTTTTCGGCGAAATACGCGAAGAGTCTGAACTGAATGACTGTCTTTGGCGTTAGTTATTCCAGTCAACCCCGACTGTCTTCCCTTATGGAATATGTTTAGCCTCGTTCGTCGAGTCGCTCATTACAAATGGCATTCTGAGATCCGATTCGTGTGCCAAGTTTAAAATTTTCATTGTGTCTTAAATATTGCATATCGGAAGCCCATATTTTCACGGTAAGATAACAACATCAATGTAGATTTAAATTGCACAATAAGTTGTGTTTGCAATGTCGAAGACTGTGGATGATATTGAATTAAAGGCTTGGCTACTTTAATATTTTACGTCATTTGAAAGGAATATTACGAAATGTGTGAGTTAACATTCATATCATAAGGAAGGGATTTATATTTATAAGGAAACGATTTTAACTAAAAAATCATAAAACATTCAATACAATTTGGAAGATTAACAATGATTAAGAATTGATTGAATATAAAGCATAAAACGGTATTATGTTCATTATTTGAAACTTTATGTGCTTTATAAACTTGTAGGCCCCGTGCTTCATATCGAACAGAATACCGGACCGTTGTAACTATGGTAAACAAGATATGGTATTTTCTACTCGTGTATATTTTTGTATGGACCAATGTTGGTAAGCATATTTTCTTGCTTTTTGTATGGACTATAGGTAAGCGTCTGTTCTTGTGGAGAGCCACGGTGGCTAAGTGAGTAAGACGCTGGCTCGCTAGCCTGTAGGTCACGGGTTCGATCCCGGTGTTGGCCTGAAAGTTCATCCCGGCATGGTTTGCGCTTGTCAGCATTCTAGTCGTAGGGATGGGCCGGTACACATTGCCACCGCAATCTGGGAATCGAAACCATGCCCCTTGATTCATTTTGACGGGATAAACCATTCGGCTGGCTAGCCCCCCACCCCACCCAACCCCACCCCAACTTCCTTTAGTTCAAAATGTATTCTATTCAAATATCAAACTAAAATTTTAGTATAAATTTTGGAAACACTGGGGAAAGAAATGTATTGCATATGTGTAGAACAAAACATGGTTTTCGGCGAGTTACGTCAAGTTGCGCTGCCATGAACGCCTGATTCCAGTGACAAAGGATTTGCTCACAAAAGGATAACGTAACGAGAGTAATTTAGGAAATGAAATGATTACATGGGACCTAAATCTTGCATCCCATCCGAAGGACTAAACGTTGTCCCGTGGGTCCCGGCGCTCTGTCCTGCACCACTGAAAAGGGGTAACCACGCAGGAAAATCTCAATGAACTTTCGCGGCCAATACCGGGATCGACCAGGCTATCTCCGTGTTAGCGAGCCAACGCGGCTAGGATATCACATCACTTTATAATTAATTGTCTATAGAAGACTAATCTGATTAAAATACAGATCTATATTTCGTTTCGTTTTGTTTTTTTTATACTTTCGATGTCCTACACTACATGAAGATCTGACAAGTTGTACTCGAAGGTCGTGTCAGGGGGCGTACGAACGGCTGTTTACCCTATGACGTTAGACATTGATTAATCAATTGCCGTTGGCGTTTCTAGTGGTTTACCCACAGTTCCGTGCATGGCACGCCAAGAAGTCGCCGTAACAGACCGTTTCATTGGCTAATCCCTCACTTCAACCAAAACGCCGGTAATATTACAACTCTTCCAGTTCCTAGTGTAGTAAAGACAAGTAAAATAAAATTTTGGACTATAAAAAACGAAACGAAATAGGATCTGTGTTATAATCAGATTGAGAATTACAATAATATTCTAGCCAGACACAAATCTGGGGCTAACAAGAAGTTTAGCAGAGAATAATGCCACACTTCGGATGTGGTAAACGATTTGATGGCACCGCTTTCCCGTATCCGAGGACGGTATATTAATAGAGAAACAGGCGACGAAGAGTTGAGAAGAAATTTATTTAAGGCGGTTGAATACACTTGCGTATGAGCCCACAGAAAGCTTCGAGTAATCATATTTGAATAACTCTATGGGTGATGATACCCGAGGAAAGGGAAAGTTTAATATCATACGTCATTTGACCGGCATGTTACGAAATGTGGGGATTGACAATTCATAACATATAATGATAAGGAAAAGATTTATAATTATATGGAAATAATTTTAACTATAAAAAAAACAACAAAACGATTCAATACGATTTGGAAGATTACCAATGATTTTGAATTCATTTCATATAAAGCATAAAACGGAGAGATTATGTTCATTTTTTGAAACTTCACGTGATTTTTACACTTGTAGTGTTCATGCTTTATATCGAACAGATTCACGTGTAATATAGACTTTAACAGGTGGAACTATGGTATACAAGATATGGTATTTTCTACTCGTGTATATTTCGGTGTGGACCGAGGTTGGTAAGCTTATTTTCTTGCTTTCTATGGACTAGTGTTTGGTAAGCGTCTTTTCTTGCCCACTTTCTACCGATGTAAGCATAGGGGGAAGAGAGAGAGAGAGAGAGCCTGTTTCGTGTAGGAGCTATAGCAAAATTAAGAGACAAGGAATGATATATTATAGATATGTATAGTCTAAAAATCATATCCAAAACCTTTACGATGATGGATAAAAAACGTCCACCCGATACAGATGTCAGAGGCGGATCCAAGGGGGGGGGGAGGGGCGCCTAATTTTCGACAATGCCCTTTTTTACTGCTGAAAGTGCCTTTTCTCAGACTCAAATATGTCCGTTCCCGACCCTGTGCACGGATCCCAAATGACTCAAACCATCGACTCAAACACACTAGGGATCTGGATGCCGGTACGGCGGAAATAACGGACGCCATACCCCGCTTCTACGGTGAGGACCTTCCCAGTCGCTCTACATTCGACCAAGAGCTTCGACTATGGCACCGCCACTGGTCGACAGAAACTCAACCGCCCTCAACAATTGCGGACACTTTGAAACGCTTGATTACGGACGACATCGGTCACTTATTTCCAAACGTAACGCGAGTTCTAAGCATCATATTGACTACATGCGCCACCAGTTCAACCGTGGAAAGGTCGAATTCTGCACCCCGTTTTGTGAAGTCCGATTACCGTTCAATGATGTCCGAGGAGCGATTCAATGCCCTCGTGCTTCTTTATGTACATCGGGATATAAAACTCGATTACCAAAAAATAATCCACAGTTATGCCTTGAAATTTCCGAGACGAATGTTGTTCGTAAATCCTATATATTCCGTATTTAAGGAGTGAAATATACCATTTTAATAATAACTCGCTCGCCTTGCCAATTTTCGAGTCGCATGTTCAACTGACTTTTTTGCTCGATTTTAAGGCTCTTTTTCAACGATTTCAGAACGTTTAATTAGACGAAAGTATCAGCCAAATAGCTCTTGGAATGGCTACAGATGCAAGGAAATGACGGATAATTTTCTTGGGGGACCCCCCCCCTCCCCAAAAAAAACAACCTCTCAGCGGCGTTCCCCGTCTCCGCGGTCAGTGCCCTCATTTTGCGGCGGCACCCCTCTTTTCAAAATTCCTAGAGCCGCCCCTGGATGTGGTCATTTCAGGACTAACATATAGTTCAATTTGCTTTGAATTATTTGGTTTGCGCGTAGGGTCTTTAGCAGTGGAAGAAAACCGGAGGACCTAGAGAAAACCCACGAGGTTACTGGTGACCCTACACCTTGCCACATGCAAACTGGGATTCGAAACTACGCCACTTGATTCAACGTTCACGGGTTAAATCATTCGGCCACCCAACCCCCGCCTTTCTGAAATTTTAGTATACATTTGAGAAATACTGGGAAAACAAGCACATTGTATATGTGTCGAACAATAGCATGGTTACCGGGGAGTTACGTCAATTTGCGAGGTCATAACGCCAGATCTCCGGGTTATCGAGCCAACGTCTTACTCACTGAACCAACGTGACACATCAGTATACATGTCGAGATAAAACAAATATGTTGAGATAAAAGCACTAAAAAATAGTAAGCTTCAATCGACAACACACTGCTTCAATACCACGTGACAGTTTATTTTAAAATCTTTTTATGTTTGACAGCGTTTTACTGATCAGTTCCACAGACATGACACGTAAATAATTTTCTTCGCATATTACAGATTATCGAGAACCTATTAGTAGTATTTATTTATATTTTTCAGAATGCGGATTTCAATCCTGTGAAGTTCAACATGGTTTGTAATTTATAATATTTTGTCAGGCGCATGCCCCCCCCCCCTCGCTCATGTGGGGAGAGCGACTGTCAGTAGGAGAGCGAATCTATACAGGAGGGACCACTGATGACTGAAGGATTGATATTGACTGAAATTTTACGTCTCGGTCTAAAACTTTTGCCAAAATTTATTTTGATCATCAAGACTGTCGTTTAAGTTGTCGCAAAGCAATTTATTGTATCCTTGTTTCTTGATCCTACACATTTCTTTGAAACTGTTTTTACACGTGTTGTATGAGAAGAGGTGGGCTTTGTTATTATTAACAATATTATTAAGGTGATGTGATCGTTGAGACGATTTTGACCCTAAAAAGACAAGTTTTGCTGAGTTAATTGAATCAACGCACTATATTGTGTGTTGACTTTTCGGTTTAAAAGCACAGGTTTGCGTTAATATATAGCTGTTCTGAAGCATTGTCAACATATTCCATTTCGCCGTAGTTTATGCCGACATAGCGCATGGTCATAAACGGAATATGTTGTTGCGGCAGTTTTGATTTGAGTGACTTTTACGAGATGGTATATGATGTTGTTGCTATTTCTGTCCTTTGATTGTGAGTGTTGACTCCGTTGTCAGATCGTACGTGAACACATGATCACCAATAATCAGTTTGTCAAACTTTAAGAAAGCTTTTACATTTACATTGTTCTCTTTCGCCTCAATGAGTTTTGGTATAATGGCTCTACGCACATCACGAATTCGTTTACTAAAATCTTCAGAAACCTTCAGATTACAATCGCCCGAATTAATTTGAGATCTAGCACTTCTTAAGACAACATCTCTATCTTTCAATTTGTTGAAAACAACTAACATTGGCCTGGGTTTGTTAAGCTTTGGTTGTTTTCTTATAGGATACGTGTTTTTTTTAAACGTAATTTATAATTATTCTTCAATATTTTGAAATTATTTTCAGTTTTAATATTTAATGAGATAGAAATGTTTCCCATAAAACGCTAAAACGAAACAAATGGTCAATTTAAAATTTATGTTTTAGTTCCATATGTAGACGTTTGTAACAATAAATCACTGACCAGAAGTACAGTGTATTTATCTAGTATTATCTATAAAGATAATGGACTTGGTGGAAACGCTCAAGGTTGTAGATGTACTGTACAGCCAAAAGGCAAACAACAAAAACAGACTATAACTATGGCGATTTCACCAGTAAATGAACACCCTTATGGATGTCAATATCAACTTAATGTTACACATAAAATGAAAACTGGGGAATTTGCCTGTAATAGATTTGGTAACGAAACTTATAATATAGTACCAGGAGATGTTATATATATGGAGTTGGTGCCAGGTATAATACCAAAGGAACAAGGTGGATTTGCTATTTATTTCAAGATCAGTACTACACAAGGTAAACCATAAGTAGTTATTTTAGAGAGAGAGAGAGAGAGAGAGAGAGAAATTCATAAGTTATTATATTAATTTGGCCTATTCGACTGTCTGCGGTTAAGTTCTATTGATATAAAGATAATTTCTCCTTGATCAAATATCTAAACAGACACAAGGATATGGTACAGGGGTGTTTTGGAGGGTACGCCCTGGTAGGCTCGTTGTAAAATTATGACAATTGTAAGAATATAACATCATTTCTAATTGTAAGAATATAACACCATTTCTAATTGTAAGAATGTGATACCACTTCTGATTGTAAGAATTTAATGCCACTTCTAATTGTAAGAATTTAATGCCACTTCTGATTGTAAGGATATGGCGCCACTGCTAATTGTAAGGATATGACAAAACGCCTGAATTTTAAAGCTGTTATACAACTTTTTGATTCCCCTTCATATAGATATGGATAACAAAACAAACATTCGATTTAACTATAATAGTGACGAGTTTCGTACACAAAGCAGGTTATTCGTCCTTCTCTGCCCATCTCGGTCTTGCGCGCTATATCATAAGGTCTGCAATTGAGTTAACTGCCGTGGTTTCGATTCCCCGGTTGTAAGTGACAAGGAATAGGATCGCTTGTCCAGTCTTATGAGTTTTATCCACGTCCCCCGGTTTCCTCCCACTGCTAAAGACCCCTACGCGAAAGTGAATTATTGAAATAAAATTGAACGATATGTTAGTTCCGAAATGACCTAGTTTGTGTCGAGTGGACGTTAAACACCATTTCTCTCTCTCTCTCTCTCTTGCAACGAAAAACTGGTTCAACCCTGTTATTAGAACTGTCGTTTGAATTCTACACTGGTTAAATTGCTAATAACTTCTTATTAGTCTGTAAACATTAACTTACGAACATATTTGGCTACCGACAACCCCCCCTCTCTCTCTCTCTCTCCCCCCCCCTCTCTCTCTCTCTCTCTCTCTTATATAAATTTTTGAGATGATGTGTATAATATGTATACCTATAATATATCTTACCTTCTGTTTGTAATATATGATAGGTATTGATACAGGTTCTTATCGGTGATTATCGGTGATTAGTACCACTCCTACATTACAAGTGTCTCAACACCGAACTTTTTAATTAAATATACAACTGACTGAATACGGTTCTAGTTGTGTTTGTGTCAGATTTTACCATGTGTACTAAATAATGTTCTCTGTATTTTGTTTGTTTTTTATGGAAGAATCAGCTCGCTGAGTTGAATTGTCGGAGCTATATAAATTAATTATTATTATTAATTATTATTACAACAAACATGTCCAAATAATACAATAATCAGAGATCTTTTTTTGTCTAAAGGTTCTAAGGTTACTCTAGCATGCAACGACGCTATAACAACTGATGGGACTTCCGGTACATCTTCCACCAGTGAGCTTACTACCACTACAACAGCATCTTCCACCAGTGAAGTTCCTAGCACTGCAACAACATCTTCCACCAGTGAGTTTCCTAGTACTATAACCACACCAGCATCTTCCACCAGCAGCACCGAAACCCCCAGTACGTCAGATAACCCTTCTACTATAACTGCTACCCATAAAACTTCAACAGAAAACAAAAATAATATTTCTACACCCAAAGAAAATGGACAGTTCCAAAAGGACAATGATTCTCCAAAACGTAAGTATTAGTAGAAGATAAATGTGGCCATATGTTTGGAATTCTCGTCATAGTTATCCTGATTTACAACTTTTTAAAATTTCCTTGATATCAGATAATGTACTAGATAGTCAACCTTAGTTAAACTTAGGGGCGGATCTTGACGGGGGTTTGCCCCACCCCACACTGCTCAGTTACATACAAAATTATAAAACAACACTTTTATGAGGTACATGTAAGTGTCACGGTCGTGCGCTTTATCCTTTATTATCAGATGTTGGGATCGGATGGGCATTCAAAGCGCGAGATAATGATATAGACATTATGTGATATCACTACACGGTGATCCAAATAATTCATAATAAAAATTGACGTCAAACGGGGTGTTGAATTTCTCTCTTTAAAAAGTTTAGTGTGTATGTATGTCTACGAACTCGACACAAACTAGGTCATTTCGGGACTAACATAGGGGTCTTTAGCAGTGGGAGCAAACCGGAGGACCCGGAGAAAACCCACGAGGTTGTATAGGCGACCCTACTCCTTGTCACGTACAACTGGGGAATCGAAACCACGCCAGTTGCTTTAATGACTGACCTTATGATACAATGCGCACGTGCTAACCATTCGGCCATCCAACCCCACCCAGTTTAGACAAACAAATTTACTCAAACGTCCTAAATATTACAACATTATAAACAGCCATTCTGATCAGATGGGGAAATGTTGGACCCGGAAAAATTGGATTAGATTCGTCTATACACAGGCTTAAGGACATTGGCATAGATGAATATTACATGAATATTTATATATTACAGTATATGGTATAGTAGGTGGAAGTGTTACTGGAGTGGTTATTATAGTAATAATTATTACACTAGTCTGGTAAGAAATATTCTGATTGTATTTCAATTTGATGGTTTAAATCACTAAAGGCCAGTTCTCAGTTGCTTCGATATGCACACAACAATCGTAAACAGTTGTCGTTGTTTCGACATTCACACCACAGTCGTAAACTGTTGTCGTTGTTTCGATATACACGCAGCAATCGTAAATAGTTTGTAAAAATAAAAAAAAAATTAATCAAGTCTGGCGACGCCCTTGATCGTATCACCCACGACTAAAGTATACATGTATGGCCTGGCACTCTAGGATGTCAAAACAGATGAATAAACTTTTTGTTCAAAACGTTAACAGGATAATTTCATATTAAAAAACCCTACTTGATTTATTTCACTCTTTAATTGATAGCCGCCATCCTCTGTAATTAGATATATCAACACTGATGAATAAACTTTTTATTCAAAAATTTAATTTCAAATTTGAGAAAAAAAAAAAAAATATCACCAGCTTATGGAGTGTTTGTGTCTCAGCTGATTCATTACGCGAGAGCTTGTTCCTTTTATTCTGATTTTTTAAGTAGATCGAGGCATTTGTCATCTAAGCTTCAACTACAAGGATACTTGCGCACTAAACTTATTAAAACCTTTAAAAAGTTTTATGGCCGTCATATTGATTTGATTGGTAAATATAACGTGTCTCTCTCGGCTATTATTCTAGATATATTTAATTGACACGTATACTATTACTATCTCCCTGATAATGTCTACTACATCGTTAACACAGTTCATCGCGTGCATTTTGCATACCGATAGTTCATTGGCCAATCACGCTATTTTACCGACATTTCACCTAATAGTGAGGATGCAGCTATGGCGAGTGTGGCGCCAGGCAGGGTAAGCTTACTTATCCGGACACCTGTTACCACTGTTTGTCGTGTATTTTGTACACGAGGAGCAGTCCATTTGCTGATTACACTATTTTGCTTGAATACACTATTTTACCTATAACGTTTTTTAGGACTTCGAATTCTGCCTTATGGTTTGGATTGTTCGTACCTGGTTTTATTTTATTATTATACTCTTCCATTGGAAGCTGCCATCCTCTCTAAAGGAGGCCCAGAGACATAGCATCCTCTTCTCATCACGTGACCGACATTAAAGATGCATTATGTAAGATCTAGATACAGAGTTGAAAGTTCTCGCTATAATAGTTTACAAATAGATAATGGACAATGAATATTCTATTACTGTCAGTTAAATTACTATAAATCGTGACTGTTTGATATTGTAACGTATATTGTAACGTATATTGTCGTAGAAGCGATACTTAATAACCGAGACTATCTCTCGTTAAATTTTTAAAAATCCCGGGTTTTCTAATCCATTTAAATCTCTGCCATCGGATCCTTTGACAGTTGATTATAAGACTGTCATGTTAATAAATGTCTAAACAATAATTTATATAAAATTTGAAGACAAAATAAAAATTAGCTCTTACATAATGCATCTTTAATTGATTGTTTATTTGTAGTTTTATCAGGAAACAGAAAAGAAATCACCTTGAGAAAGACACCGTGACTGTTGACGACAGACCTCGTGACTATGTGAACATTGTTGCCAAGGACAACATGGTTTATAGTGGTGAAGATACCGTTGAATATAGCCTAGAAACCAACCCAAATAGTAATGGAAGAGTTACCCTTAACAACAGAGAAAAAACCAATTCTGAACGAGGAAACATCGTTACCAATCCAAGTCCCATTTACTATGAATTGGAAAGGGATTTTGATGTTGGGGCCTCTTCGTTAAATGATAATCAGTCAGATATTCCTCAGGCTACGGTTGCCAATTCAAGTCCCGTGTACTATGAATTGGAAAGGGAATTTAATGTTGGGACATGTTCGGTAAATGATAACAATACTAAATCTGTTATTCCTCTAGCTACGGTTTCCAGTCCAACTCCCGTTTACTATGAATTGGAAAGAGATTTTGATGATGGGGCCTGTTACTAAATCTGGGATTCCTCTGGCTACGGTTGACGATATTGACGATGTGGTAAACCCCTGCTGAAAATCCTACAATTCCAGATGTTTCCAAAGATGGACACACAGCTTCATCAAGTACCAAAGATGAACACACAGCTTCATCAAGTACCAAAGATGAAATGTGTATTACAGGTGGTGACAAATTGTATAATTGTAGAATAAAACCAATCAATTTAACAATAACAATGAAAATCTATATATCAGAGCCAGCTCCGACATCTGAAACGTTGACGTTTATAATCATTATGAGTATTCTGACGAAGATAAATAAAAAGTCTAACGACTCACAATGTACCTTTGGCTGCTCAATATGTCTTCTGTACGTCCTCACATCCACTGCCCCTGTGACCCGCACTTTTAGTCCTCTCCTCACAACTAAGTCAGAAAATATGCTTCCCCACACCAAAGTAGAAAACCCATCCTTCCCAATTCGTACAGGAAATATATATATTGCTTTTATAAAGTGGTTACAGTAGTCTTCTTCTCAGTCGACACTAACATTACCCCACCCCCACCCCACCCCCACGCGAGAGCTTGTTCCTTTTATTCTGATTTTTTAAGTAGATCGAGGCATTTGTCATCTAAGCTTCAACTACAAGGATACTTGCGCACTAAACTTATTAAAACCTTTAAAAAGTTTTATGGCCGTCATATTGATTTGATTGGTAAATATAACGTGTCTCTCTCGGCTATTATTCTAGATATATTTAATTGACACGTATACTATTACTATCTCCCTGATAATGTCTACTACATCGTTAACACAGTTCATCGCGTGCATTTTGCATACCGATAGTTCATTGGCCAATCACGCTATTTTACCGACATTTCACCTAATAGTGAGGATGCAGCTATGGCGAGTGTGGCGCCAGGCAGGGTAAGCTTACTTATCCGGACACCTGTTACCACTGTTTGTCGTGTATTTTGTACACGAGGAGCAGTCCATTTGCTGATTACACTATTTTGCTTGAATACACTATTTTACCTATAACGTTTTTTAGGACTTCGAATTCTGCCTTATGGTTTGGATTGTTCGTACCTGGTTTTATTTTATTATTATACTCTTCCATTGGAAGCTGCCATCCTCTCTAAAGGAGGCCCAGAGACATAGCATCCTCTTCTCATCACGTGACCGACATTAAAGATGCATTATGTAAGATCTAGATACAGAGTTGAAAGTTCTCGCTATAATAGTTTACAAATAGATAATGGACAATGAATATTCTATTACTGTCAGTTAAATTACTATAAATCGTGACTGTTTGATATTGTAACGTATATTGTAACGTATATTGTCGTAGAAGCGATACTTAATAACCGAGACTATCTCTCGTTAAATTTTTAAAAATCCCGGGTTTTCTAATCCATTTAAATCTCTGCCATCGGATCCTTTGACAGTTGATTATAAGACTGTCATGTTAATAAATGTCTAAACAATAATTTATATAAAATTTGAAGACAAAATAAAAATAAGCTCTTACATAATGCATCTTTAATTGATTGTTTATTTGTAGTTTTATCAGGAAACAGAAAAGAAATCACCTTGAGAAAGACACCGTGACTGTTGACGACAGACCTCGTGACTATGTGAACATTGTTGCCAAGGACAACATGGTTTATAGTGGTGAAGATACCGTTGAATATAGCCTAGAAACCAACCCAAATAGTAATGGTAGAGTTACCCTTAACAACAGAGAACAAACAAATTCTGAACCAGGAAACATCGTTACCAATCTAAGTCCCATTTACTATGAATTGGAAACGGATTTTGATGTTGGGGCCTCTTCGTTAAATGATAATCAGTCAGATATTCCTCAGGCTACGGTTGCCAATTCAAGTCCCGTGTACTATGAATTGGAAAGGGAATTTAATGTTGGCACATGTTCGGTAAATGATAACAATACTAAATCTGTTATTCCTCTAGCTACGGTTTCCAGTCCAACTCCCGTTTACTATGAATTGGAAAGAGATTTTGATGATGGGGCCTGTTACTAAATCTGGGATTCCTCTGGCTACGGTTGACGATATTGACGATGTGGTAAACCCCTGCTGAAAATCCTACAATTCCAGATGTTTCCAAAGATGGACACACAGCTTCATCAAGTACCAAAGATGAACACACAGCTTCATCAAGTACCAAAGATGAAATTTGTATTACAGGTGGTGACAAATTGTATAATTGTAGAATAAAACCAATCAATTTAACAATAACAATGAAAATCTATATATCAGAGCCAGCTCCGACATCTGAAACGTTGACGTTTATAATCATTATGAGTATTCTGACGAAAATGAATAAAAAAGTCTAACGACTCACAATGTACCTTTGGCTACTCAATATGTCTTCTGTACGTCCTCACATCCACTGCCCCTGTGACCCGCACTTTTAGTCCTCTCCTCACAACTAAGTCAGAAAATATGCTTCCCCACACCAAAGTAGAAAACCCATCCTTCCCAATTCGTACAGGAAATATATATATTGCTTTTATAAAGTGGTTACAGTAGTCTTCTTCTCAGTCGACACTAACGCCACCCCACCCCCACCCCCGCCACCAGCCAATCCAAGTGAGGACAATAATATCAGTTGTAATAGTCGAAGGATGATTAAATTTTTTTTCAAAGAATTAATGATAATTTCTTCTTTTTTGTCATGTACCTTTTCTTCCTCAACCTGTATCCTTTTTTTATTGGTGCAAATATAAAACAATATACCCCTGGGTTTGGTAGTACGTTCCCCACGGAACATTTGTGGCCGCGTGGACGTAAATGAAATGAAATGAAATGGGGTTTAACGTCCTACTGTTTTGCTCCGAACTGGGCTAATGAAGACGGGCATACGCCATACAGTGTGCTATGAGGGTAATTTTGCCCGGACAGCGGCACTACGGCCTACTCTTATATCGAATTCCAACTGTCAAGGGATCTTTTACGTGCACGCCAATGTGTACACGGGACCTCGGTTTTTCGTCTCATCCGAATGACTAGACAGCTGTCCTTGTCAGGCCCTCCGCCGCGTGGACGTATCAGGTATGGTACAATCTGAGTAAAGTATATTTCGTTTCATTTTTTTTTATACTTTCGATGGCCTCTACTACATGAAGATCTAACCGGTTGTAGTGGAAGGTCGCGTCAGGGGTCATACGAGCGGTTTTCGGTCCTATGACGTCAGATATTGATTAATCAATCAGCGTTGATGTTTCTAGTGGGTTACCCACAGTTCCGTGCATCTCACGCCAAAAACTCGCCGTAACAGACCGTTTCATTGGCTAATCTCTCACGTCACCCAGAACGCGGGTTATATAACAACTCTTCCAGTATTGTGTGAGAAATGTGATCAAATATATTCTTCCATTGTCGTTCATGCATGAATGCACTGAAGCTAGATTGACAACATAAGAAATGGAATGAAATGGGGTTTAAGAATGTTATTCTTGTTAGAACTAGAGCCATGGATTCCCACCGAATGACTTACTCAGACTTTACGCGCAAATGGAAATCAAGTGAAATGGGGTTTAACGTCCTATTGTTCTGCTCGACTGCGCACACACCATAGAATGTGCTATGGGGGAATTTTGCCCAGGAGGTACCTTTACAGCCTACCCATACTCTTATTTTGAATTCCAACTGTCAAGAGATCTTTTAATGCATGCCAATGTGTACACGGGAATGCTGTGCGTTCCTTTGATGTAAATGTGGGGAGGTATTTACGAGATTATTGTAATTGGGTCTGATATTTAGGTGGGTTGGATAAGACGATAAAAATTATAATACATATAAAGCTTTATTATTGAAAGCATTGCATCTCTACAGCATCGCTGTAGCAAGTAAAAACACTCATCACCGGAAAGATGCACATATTAATACCTAGTACGCATGCGTATAGATTCCAGTCATCAAACTACGGAAGATAATAATAATTTGTAAAGATATCGCAGAGATGTTATCTCACACTTTCTTGCTTAGGTGCCAGTTACGAGATAATCTTAATTCATTGCCCCATTTTCATTTGATTGACCGTAATGGTCTTCCATAGTAAAGGTCAAAAAGACAGAAACATGAGATAGAACAGAACCCACAAAAAATGAAATGAAATGGGGTTTAACGTCCTACTGTTCTGCTCCGGCTGGGCTAAAGAAGACGGGCATACTCCAATCAGCGTACAGCGAGGGAAATTTTGCCCAGGCAGCAGCACTACGGCCTACTCTTATATCGAATTCCAACTGTCTTTTACGTGCACGGGACCTTGTTTTTTCGTCCCACCCGAACGACTAGACAGCTGTCATTGTCAGGATCTCCGTCCTTCACAACTGACAAGGGGAAACCACGTTGGAAAATGAACTTTCTCAGCCTCTGCAGGGATCAAACCAACGTCTTACCCACTTAGCCACCGTGGCTCCACAGAACCCACAAAGAATTTAGCAAACAAGACATGGAGATGTAATTAATGAAAACCTAATAATAATAATATTTATTATTTAACTCCAAATATACCAACACCGATCTCAATAGGCGGTACAACATAAACTGAAAAACAATAAAATATCACAGAGAATCGTGAAAAAACAAGATATATGTATATAAACAACATTTACGTTAAAAGGTAGATCCACAATTAAAAGAAATAACTCGGAAAAAAATCTAAGAACAAAACCAAAATTGCTTAAATGACTCAAATATAATAATCAAAACAAATGATATGCTATGCTAAAAAGATGAGTGCATTACGGATGTTTAATAGTGTTGCATTCCAAAGACGAGGGGTGGTAATAGAAAACATTCGCTTGCCATAAAAACTTCTGCTTGTATCTTGGCTGGAAAAGTTGTATTCCTTATGAAGATCTGTTGAAGACCTATTGGAATTATGATCGAGATCGCACGCGGTAGACCATTCGGAATCCCGGCGAATGAGAAAGAAAGAGAGAGAGAGAGAGAGAGAGAGAGAGAGAGAGAGAGAGAGTCAACTCGACCCTCACCAGGTCATTTTGGGACTAACACATGGTTCAATTTTATTTCAATAATTCGCTTGCGCGTAGGGGTCTCTTACAGTGGGAGGAAAATTGAGGACCCAGAGGAAACCCACGAGGTTGAACAGGCGACCTTACTCCTTGTCACGTACAAGCAGGGAATCGAAACCACGCCAGTTGACTCAATGACGGACCTAATGATACAGCGCGCACGCGTTAACCATTCGGCGATCCAAACCTAACCTTGAGATAATAATATAATGTCGACTCACCACATAACGAATGATGTTA